AGTAATAATCGTTAACCTCAATCCTTAAGTTTTATTGCTATTCGTTTTTAGCTTCTCTCAATATATATTTTAAATAACTATGTGAAATGATTGAAATAAATTCAGACATTCCGTTATAGTATATTAAAATATATTCTTTATGAAAAAAGATTGCAAATCATAATTATTCGAAAATTTTATTTTATTAACCGATCACCGGAAAAACAAGAGCAATATGAGGTATTCATTAAGAGAAATCATCTAGTTCGTATGCTTTTAGAGAGAACATTATTACCGTTTCTAGATTATGACTATTAATATAAGCAGGCTTGAACAATGAATTTGTAGAAGTTAAAACTCTCATATTAAGTAGAAAAAAAAGAAACTTGGAATTCGACTTTTTTTTATGAAATCCGGTATAATTAAAGTAGGAAATCATTTGAACCGAGACTAAATTTATGTAGTCGAAAATATCTAAAAATAATTGATGATACTAGATTAAAATAAATATTTTAAAATTTATCAGTTATAGAAATCGATAAATTATTTAAAAATATTTCGCATAGAGCCCGTTTTCAATTTTTTATAACCAATTTGATTGTTATAAACAATAAGAGTTATTTTATTGTAAAAGAAAAATAAGGCGTTTAAAAAACTTAGATATGTTGCCTAGAACCCGTTTTCAATTGTTAATAACAAATTTAATTGTTATAAATAATTTAAATTAAAAAAAAATAGCCTATTATCTTTCTGAAAACGCCATCGATTAGCGTGGATAGACAGACAAACACCAGAAATTTATATAGTAGTACTAGCTGATTCCCGCAACTTCGTCCACGTAATGTGCATAATTAAATGAAATAGAAACAGATTGATTACGAACAGTATTAAATAGTATTTATACAGGTTAAATGAGCAAATTTCGAATTCCTTTGCTGTGTGATAGTATTAATAAACCCTCTTTTGTAAAAGAAAAAATTTTTCGTTGATGGAATTCGAATGTGTAGCATAGATCCCGTTTTCCATTGTTTTTAACAAACTTAATTGTTATAAACAAAAGAAGTAGGTTTTTATCCATATCACACAGTTCATAACTCTGTTTTAGTGGAAGAAAAAATTACAATAAATTCAATTGTTATAAGCAAAAATAGTAGGTTTCTATTCATATCATTTTGTTATTGTTATCTGTCAAATAAAATTAGTTTAAAGTTCTTTAGTTCTCGAGATATTGATAGAAAAATTAAATTGCAATCGTTTTTTTTTAATATCACTTTTTTCTATTATAAAAAAAAACTAGTTGTTCAATTTTGATTGACTAGTTGATGAATTCGAACTCTGCTGACCTTGAAATGTGATGATTCGTTAAAATTTCTAATTTGAATAAATCGGGCCCATTACAATAACTTCTGAATAGGAAGTTAATAAACAACGGATTTTTTAAAAATTGAATTGTGATTATTTTTAAGCATTTTTAATATTAATTAATCACAACTGTTAGTCGTGTACTAGTTTGCATTTTTCATGCAGATTAATATCTATTTGATCTTTTGGAAAAATATTGACTATAAATACGTAAAACCATCAATTTGCCCGGAAAGGTAGTAGTTAGGTGGCTCTTTTATCTTCAGAAAAGGCGTTTAGGAAAAAAGAAAATGCCTGCAACTTTTATGCTTACACCCGTCGTTTGTGAATGTGAGTTGATACACTAAGGTCTCTGCAGTACTTACTTACCTGCTGGTGGTATCGGAGTCTCGCTGCTACTATTCGATGGGTATTTGCACTGGACTCTTTAGTACGCTGGTATTTGGATAAATAGTTATTCCTTCAGAGATTCGCTTTCCTGGGTGCTATTCAATGTGAAATAGACTTTTTGCAGAATTTAGTTTACCCGATAGGTCGGCAGATAGTGTGCTTTCCAGCTAGGGTATCAACTTACCGAAAGCTTCCCAATCATCTGCTATGACATTGAACCGTCGGGTCATATCCAAGTGAGTTTCACCCTGCACCCTGCTCTAACAAAACTGGATCTCAATAGTTGAATGACCTTATCTCTGAACCAACTTGCGTTCAACTGACGATTTACTTAAGTACTGTGACAGTCCCTAGAATGTTGCAATTATATCTATGAATAATTCTTTTCGTAAAAAGCTTATGCGAGACCTTTTTTGACTTGTTAAAAACTTTTTAACTAAATTCGGAAAAGAAATTTATAAATTTTCCCCCTCTAGTGTCGACGTCTGGTGACTACAGAAGATATCGGGCATTCGTATCCATGCAGATGAGGACTTGCTTGCGATCAAGAGACGTCAAGACTTTTGAGGTGTTTAATGTAAACTTCAATTGGATCTTTGTATTGCAAAGAATGTGAAATGGCATAAAGAAAATAACCAAGCCATTTAATGAAGGCACACGTGGCGTGTGCATTGCTGAGTTCAGCGATATGGAGCATTTTCAGAAGAGGATTAATAATGACAATTGCTGATTTTGGTTTTTCCCGTTTATGGGCGCTTGCGGCGATAAGCGCTTGGCTCAATCCTCAAAATGTATAACTTTGTGAACCAGCATTCGTCGAGTAGGGCTCTTGTAATAACAGTATGTCTAGTTGCTTTTCTTTCATGAATGCATACGCTTCTTTTGTAGAAATAATATTGAGATTTATTTGAAGGAGACGGAGTTCAGTAGTTGCCCTGACATTGACAGCTTTCACGACATTTTGAGACGGAGTTTGACTACTCGGAGTCAGGACAGCAAGACTAAAGTTCCTAAAGTTCTTATCGGACTCAGGCAGGACTCAAGCAAGATGGGGTCATCTTATTTACCAATAAGTCCTTATTCAATCTGATAAAATTTTATCTTAAAGAATCCTATACATTCAGATGGGAAATCAAACGGCGTCACTTACTCATAAATTCTTATAGGATCTTATTTAGAACGGTCTAATAGTTTTTTATAAATTAATTCAGAAATTAAGAAATATTATTTGCTTATTGCTTTTTATAAAGTCTTACAGTATTTGTTCTTGCAAAATCTTATAACACTGGATAGAAAAAAACATTATCACTTCCACCAAAAGATTCTTACTGTATCTTGTAATATTTTTCTGATACATTTTTATAAAATTTATTCAGAAATTAAAAAATATTATTCATCTATAATTTCTTATTGAAACTAATCATATTGTTCTTATTCATTCTTGCGGGAAGTCACGTTAACGATGATAGTTGCAACGTGTAGAATTGAATAGTTTAAAAACTTAAAAATACTCTAGAATAAGTGACGCTAGTTTCTAATAGTGATGAAGTAACTGGAAAAAAATATAAAAAGTAAAAAAATTGTTGATAATGAGAAAATTTGTTTAAAAAACAATTAAAAAAAATATCATATTTTTTCTAGATGCATCATGACAATAGCATCGCTCATTATTGAAAAATTAATTTTCCAATAACCGTAATTAGAACTATTTTTTTCATAAACAATAAAAAATTAACATACTACAAGTGAATTTTTAATAAATCCAACATTTTGTTGGTATTTTTTGATAAAACGCCTATAAATTAATTCGAAAGAAAAATTTAAATAATTGAAAATTATGTATTTGTTAGAAAAAATTTTCAAAAATTGTTTCATACTCTTCACATGGAGGTATGAAATATTGCTGTAGATAATTTTCTGATTGAAAAATAACTTCACTCTCAAAAAAAAGATGAAAGAATCCAAAAACAACATTTGGATTTTTTTTAATATTGAAGAAAAATTTTTCTAAAAAACTAGCCATTTCATAGAGCAAAAAAAATCCTATCTCTTCCTTCATTAGCAATAAAATGTGTCCTTAAGCTAAAAAGATATAAGGATGCAACGTTCACGAAAAAAAGAAATAGAAAAAGACGCTTCAGACAGTGTAAAAAATCGAAAAATTCATTTTTTCTTATAATTTTAATTGGAAAATGTTCAGAAAACGATTCTGAACATTCCAAAATTTTTCCAAATTATCTTGAATATTAGAAATATTTTTTTTTAAATGTTAATTAAAAAGGTTCTTCACAGCAGATTCTGTTGAAGCGCCCAAAATGCTCGATTTTCAGCGCACTTTCACAGCGCTGTACATTTTTACCCGATAGACATGTGCTCTCGCGGACTTTTTTCTAGAGAATTCGATTCTCTACAAAAAAGATATTAACTTTTTTTTTATTTCTATCACTGTTCTCGCTACGTAAGCGGTAAAAAGTGGAAAAACGCAATTTATTAAACTTTGACACTCGATAAACAATAGTAATTATTGTTTCCAAGCAATAAAAATTTGCACAAATGCTCTCCTCATCATCTTCTACAAGAATCTATAACCAAAAAATTTTTATTTCTATTCTATAATTCATGCCCGATAAATTCATACGGCTACTAGACTAGGAGTTTAATTTTAAAATTGGAAAAAAGATAAATTCAGAAGAACCAGGATAAGTTTCTTAAGAGAGATAAACCTATTTTAGGTAAGAATTATTTCAAGTTTTTCAATTTAACTAGAAAAAGAGTTCAAACTGCACTTAATTCAATTACAAGAAGGTCTCAGAATATGGAGAAGTCTTAGGATGACTGTTTTCTATATGTGAGCTGCAGGTATCTCAATCTGATTACGATACCTAACAATAAATAGTGTAGAAAGTAATACATGGTAACTATTTTCATTTTCTATGTTGTAGTGACAAGTTCAAATTTCATCATCAAAAATTTAAAAAAAAATCATAAATGATCATATGTGAATAGTTGACACATGATGTACATTATTATTAATGATATTGTATTTTATCAAATAGGATCGTGCACTTATATTAAATTTCAGAGGATGTATGATCATGAAAAGATACATTCAACAGATCAATCATACATTCAATAGTCATATTGAATCGAACAAAATTATGGAAAATTTTTTTTTTCTTTAGAAAGCACAATTTGTGGTAATTAATACTTTAATCTTGTTAAATTAACGATTTATATTGGTTGAAGTTGAGTTCAGAGAATAAATGAAGTTAACTTTGTAGTTAGAATTTTTATTTATCATGTTTTGTTTATTACAATTTACACTTATTATGAAAGGATTGATGTACTTCTTGTTGAGCAGTTTTTATCATGTAATAAAGCCTACTAATATTGATTCGTCTTCTACAATCTGAATTTAAAAAATATTATTTTTTGGAAGATTTCAGTATTTGGAATTCCCATCATCTAATATTACTTTAAAGTAATAAAAATAAAAAAAAACTAATTATCAACTTGAAAAGAAGATTATATTTCTCAACACGTTTTTAAAAAAGTTCTATTATATTCTTTTATTGTAATAACAATATTAAAATTACTAATATTCTCTTAATGACAAAACTTAACTTGAAATTTAAAAAATATCTACAATTATCTTTTAAATAATACTTGTCTACACAAATTATGCCAATGATTTGTACATACATTTTTGTGGGTTATAAATCTTTCAATTACTAGCTGATCTACTGCCACTTCCGCTTGTTGAACTATGCCTCATTTCAGATCTAGATGGAATTGTTTCTCGAGTATAAATATGTTCATACTCATTTTTCTTATCATTATTTGTCGAAGAAGCATCTACTGTCGATGATTGTGATACAATTGGTGTTAGATTTTTATTTCGTATTGTTTGGGAACTTTGATTTACTAACTGTGTATTAGTAGCAATTATAGTATCCAAATTTACATTCACTTGAGTCGATGCAGACAGATGTTTTTTGTTTAGTCTGTTATGATGCTGTGAACTTTGTGGTAAAAATTGAGAATAAATTGAATCTTGAGCTTTTAGAGAAATTTGGTGAGTATTTTGAACTTCATGAACAGAAGAATTTGGAGAGTCGTGGAAGCTTGTACTAGGATATACTTGTCCATTAATATTTAAACCAACATTGGAAATCGAATATTTGGTTTGAGCTAAATTAGAAATCGGAATAGTTTTCTCATCTTGTGGTTGGATTGCATCGATAGTTTTGGTATTAGCTAGATTCGGATTACCATTAGGAAAAATAGCATACTTTGCCATCGTTTGAATCTCATGAGCGACTTGCGGAGCAAATGGATTTTTCTTTTCCAAATTTTTCATAGGTGACCCGTGAACAAATTTATGATGCTTTCTGCTGTCATTATAATCATTTAATTTAGATGATCGACTTGATTCTATTTTTCTGATAGAACTTAGCTCCCTTGGATGGCTAGAGCTTTCAATACGAGATCTAATTTCTGGAAAATGTTTTCCTACCATTAATTTTTTATCTTCTGCATCAGAAGATTCTATTGATAACTTGAAATCTTCCATTGGTTCCTCTTCATCTTCATTTCCTTCAGTTATTGTACTACATTGAATCCATTCACGAATTCTATCTTTTTTCTTTGACCTATCTACATTCGTTTCAATTCCATATCTTGTTAATGTATAAAGAAGTTGACTCTTTTCTTCTGGTGAACTATGAAAGCTGTACATTGAAGGACACAATTCATCCCTTTCGTCAGCTCCACCTTTAAACATATATTGATAAGAATACTCCATATCGAAGTTACCAAAAATATACAATGATAATTTTACTGGTAATAATAGAAATTAATAATTAGCAATTGGCATATTCAATCAAAATATTGATTCTTGATTATGTAACTGTTTTTAATTCAATAATGTATAGCAATATGTGATTTCCCGAATTTTGATTTAACTTTAAATATTCAGTTACTCACCACTTAGTGCTTTTTCAGCTCCTAATTTTCCCAACCATCTATCATCAATGTATTTATTCACCTCCAATACATTAACTAATCGTTTTTCTGATTTAGGCTCCAGCAGTCTTTTAAACATTCTTTGAGCTCGTGAGCTAACAAGTTGAAAGAGCTTAGGTTTTTTGGCAATGTTCAATGTTGCTGAATGCCAATTTAAGTATCTTGTATATCGTTTGTCTTCTAGTGTCGCTTTTTGCCATGGTAAACAGCCCGTTAAACAAACAAATATGACGATACCGAATTGCCAAACATCATGGGCTGCAATTGCTCTAAATAATTTGGAAATCTCTGTTTTTAGAATAATTTTTCTTATATCATGAACAACTGAATTATTATAGTTCGATTGAAATTGAGCTGTTTTTTCATATTAACTATTACCACAATACTAAAATAGTTTTTTACTTACTTATATGTGTCATCTGGATTAACTTGAAGTACTTCTGGAGGTGAATATGGTAGCCACTCGTTATGTCTTCTGACTATGGTATTGAATTTGCGAGTTTCACCGAAATCACATAGTTTGATTCGAGAAAAGTCACTTTTAAATATTAAAACATTATCCAATTTGATATCACGATGGACTAATTCTCGACTATGTATGTGATAAACTGCTGCTGCCAATTGACGAGCTACTTTTTTCGTGTGAAGCTCTCCTAAACCTGTTTCTGATACATTCGCCGTTAAATCACCTAAAAATTAAAAAAAATAATAAACCAAACATATTTCAATAACTAGACGAATTGTCTTTACCAAGTGGTGCATATTCCTGGCTGAAAACATAAAATCCAGCAGTTTCAAAGGCAACATCATAAGTCGTAATAATATTACGATGAGCAGAAAGATGAAGACCATAATGAAATTCGCGAAAAAAATCTGTTATAGCTGTATAGGCTTTGGGTAATGCTTTCAAAGCCATTTCTGTTTGTGTACTTTTGTGCTCCGTCAATAATATTTTTCCAAACCATCCTTCACCAACAATTTGTAAAATATCAAACTCATCTGCTAAATTTACCTACACAGAATAGAAAAATTCGGTTATGAATTAGTGTTTCAATCTTCCATTGGAAAACAATGACCCTACCGTAAACTACATTTTTTTTACTGGCTATGAAACTATTTAAAAATCACCAACATGTATTATATCTCGTCACAGAGCTAAAATATTTTAATTTCACTCGATTCTTCCTATTTTTTTTTGTTCTCGGCCGTTTATCTATTCAAATATCCACCATTTAAATATTTCTTAACTATAAAGATCGTGCTCATGCTTCTATTGATAGTAGTTAGACAATTCTCCTTAATTTATAAATGTAACTAGAATTATTAATAACAATATCATAAGGTGTCTTCAGTGGAATACTGTCAATAACATTAGAATACTGTTAACATCAAAAACCTATTATTGGTAATTATACCAGTGTAAACTTACAATCTATGACATGATAAATATTTTATTTGATAAATACTGTCAGAAATAACATAAAATTATCGACAATAACTTAATATTGTTAATAAAGGTATCAGTTAGATAGTACGAGTTCGACGTTAGTAATTCTTGATCAGTTAAATATTTAGATTGGAAGTAGCAATTCCAGAAATTGTAGGATCTAATGTATATATTTAATTGTTAAAGATAATTAATGTTACTTATCATTCTTACTGAATCTTTTATGATTAATGAGCCTGTGGAGTGTTAAAAGTTCTTAGTTAGGTGCATTAAAAAAATATATGCATATGTACTAGCAGATTCTCACGACTTCGTCCGCGTGAAGTGCATGATTACGTTACAAAACTAGAGGCCTAGGGATGACTGGTCTACCCAAGCTGCCAACTTCCCATTTAGTTCCCTCGATGAGTAAAAATTATTTTACAATCTACATGACAATTTAAATAAAGTTATTCATTCATACTCTTCATATCGATAATTTTTAAATTAAATTAGTTTGAAGTTTTTTTTTGTTTTTATTCTTGAAATTACCGGGACAAAAATATATATGAAATCTCGTTATTTGTTATTTAAAAAAACTAATAGTTTAATTACAATAAAAATTGTATCAGTATATTTTGTTGTGGTTATCTGGCAAATAGAATTAGTTTGAAGTTAATATCTTTCTTAGTTCTCGAGATGTTGGCAAAAAAATTAATTTGTAATCTTTTTTTTATTATTACTTCTTTTGTTATAAAACAATTAGTAGTTCAATTTCATGGAAACATTATTAGTATATCTTTCTACTGTTATCTTTCGAATGGAACACAGACGTCGTCTTAAAAATAATAAATTCGAACTCTGCTGACCTTGAAATGTAAAGATTCGTTAAAATTTTTATTTTGATATAACGGACCCATTAAAATAATTTCTAAATGGGAAGTTAATAATAGCTTAAGCGAAAAAAGTTTGAAGTATGAATTTTGTAACATAAACTAGCAGATTCCCGCGACTTCGTCCACCAATAAGCCAATTCCAAAAATCTATTGCTGTATGATAAGATTAATGAAGAAAAAATATATGTGTACGTACTAATAATAAAAAGAAACAACTCGAATTCCATCGTAAGACTCAATTTCTGCTCCTTTACAACAAATTTGATAGTTACAAACAAAAGGAGTATGCTTCCATACATTTTACACGATTTGTAATTCAATTTCAGTGAAAGAAAAATTTATCGTCGGAAGAAATTGAATATGTTGAATAGATCCCGTTGTGAATAATTCACGTCAACGAAAAGTAGCCTACAACCTTTCGCACAATGCCCTCAATATGTTTGCAAAATTTAGTTACAGCGCACACTCAAACGCATTAATGTCTAGTCCATACCTCAAGAGCCAGTCCTATACCCTCCGAGTAAGTACCGACTGAGAGGGTTTTTTTTTCATAAAGTTTCATATCTACATTTTTATCGAGGAGACACGTTTACTTTAGTAGTGGGGAGCGTGACATCCGTCCCCAATAAGATGTCAGTCAAAGGCATTTTTACAATCTTTTAAATTTAAATCTTTAAATGTATAATCTTACTGATTGTTAACCAAATTCTATGATGCCCAGATTTTTTATTTAATGATCATTTTAAAAATAAGCTTTATTCTTGTAATCTTTTAAAATTGGTTTTTTTTTATTTTCAATCATTTAATATTCAATCAAATTATAAAAATTTTTCTTTTTTTAATGTTTATCATTTCGTTGAACAGTCAACTTAAGAAATTAGGACTGGTAAGTTATCTTGCGTCGGTATAGTAGAAAAAAAATTCAACTAGTGTCACTGTTTTCTGATAGATGACAGTAATTACACTGTTTTCAATCAAAAATTCAAAATGCTTATATGATTTTGAATTTCGAACTGTTTAATAGCAACTTTACTTACCAAAAATAAATATTAGATTGATCTTCTTGAAATGGAGCATAATTTTCTTCAAAACCAATTACTTATATCGATATTTTTTATCGTTAGAGATATACCACATCAAGTTATATTGAGTTAATTTCTTTACAATATCAATTACACAATTCAAAATAATAAAAAAATTCTTTACTTTTAAATTGAATTTTTCTTCAATATATTTCCTTTTTTTGTTTCATCAATCATTTAAGTTACTGAATTACTTGCTATTTCTTCAGTTAGTTTGTGTTTTAATTGACTATCAGTAACACAGTCTTCTAGTATTATCGTAATTATAAATAAAATAAAATATATTATTTGTATCATTAATTTACGCTTAGTTTAACTTTTCTAATGAAGTTAGTTTCTTCCATTGTGTAATGAAATTTTTTAAACAGGGTTTTTTTCAATATAATTTTTATTTCAAACTCTTTTTTCATTAATGACATATTTTTTTAAAAACAAAATAAATTTTCACACAAATAAATTATATATTGAAGAGAAATAAAATTAAGATCCTATTAAATTTTTATTATTACTCAATTTCGTTCACACGACAATTAGTTTCAACACAAAAAAGTAATTTTTTGGGTAAATATTAAAACACATTTGTTATAATATCAATTTATATATAGGATGACATTGTCAGAATATTTGTAGGCAGTAGTTGAACGCACAAATATTCGACGGGAGCTGAGACAACGTGGCTCATAATTTGGAAGTGTAGATAACCAAAGTTAGAGAGATACACGCAAATGTAAATTTTCTTAAATATAAATAAAAGTTATACTTATAACTTCAGGAATGATTTTTGAATTCTTTAATTGACCCTGATTATTTTATTTTAAAATAATTGAATTGAGTAGTAATTTATATGAAAATTTATTAATAAATTTATATTCATATTATATTTATATTTAAATTCAGGTAAATTAAGGTATTCATTAAAAATACTGATTTATTTTTATAAAAACTTAAGTAATAAAACTTTTTTTTCGTTGCACGAAAATTGTTTATGTTTATTAAAGGAGAGAATAATACTGACAGACATTATTTTTGAAGTTTTTCAACTTTTTAATAATTCAGTTTTCAAATTTTTTTCACTTGGATTACGTTATTACGCTAACATTAAGATAAAAATGTTATTATCATTAGATTATAAGCCTAAATATACTTATTTATGTAGTAGGAATTACATGACATTACATGAGCCAGAAAGAAGACTTTTCTCTGTATAAGCATTTTGAATTTTTTTTCTACTATACCGACGCAAGATAACCTACCAGTCCTAATTTCTTAAGTTGACTGTTCAACGAAATGATAAACATTAAAAAAAGAAAAATTTTTATAATTTGATTGAATATTAAATGATTGAAAATAAAAAAAAACCAATTTTAAAAGATTACAAGAATAAAGCTTATTTTTAAAATGATCATTAAATAAAAAATCTGGGCATCATAGAATTTGGTTAACAATCAGTAAGATTATACATTTAAAGATTTAAATTTAAAAGATTGTGAAAATGCCTTTGACTGACATCTTATTGGGGACGGATGTCACGCTCCCTAGTAGTGTTTCGTGCGCCAAGTTTAAGGCTGGGCTGAAGTCAAAGAGGCGACTGATTCCCCCTATCTAAATATATGGGATCGGGATATTTCTAATTTCTTCGCCAATTTACTATTATTTCTATGCAATTAGGTACCAAATTACAGAGGAATTAATGCCGGACTGACGTAAACAACAACTTTTTGTATGTAGTGAATATTTTTATTAAAAAAATTAGAAAGAATAATGAACAAATTATGAGTTGACTTGCCGCGCTTAAATTCCAAGATGGCAGCCACATCATTCAGATGAAAAATCACTAATTCTTTCATTTTTATACGTTTTTCGCCCAAAATTCGTGTTTGTGTCAGTCCTTGCTACCTATCTGAATGTCAAAAAAATCAATTTATAGTATAAAATTGAATAATTTAGAAATAATTAGAAATATTGTATTCCAGATGATTTTCTCCCGTAATTAGTTTGAAAAAATTCTGATAGGTGACAGCATTATGCTCGCAGATGCATTTTGGTGAGTAATTTGTGTATGTGTGTGTACGGGTAATATATGTATGTGATGTAAACATAGTGTATCGCTTTACAATGCCTTATACTTTGATGACTATTGCAGTTAGAATAAATAAAAATGATGATACTCATTTAGTAGTATAAAAACAAATACACATAAACTCAATATCGAGATTATGCTGGCCATGTGGTTAGAGCGTCAGAGTTCTATTTTGCCGGGCAGGGTTCGATCCTAGTCATAATCACTTTTTTTTCTACTTTATTCGTTAGATTAGCATGTAATTATAATATTGACATGCCATAATTGATCCATTATAATGATTTGATTTTTTTTTCTCTTTACTCATTGAATTTATTGACACTAAGTCGGAAAATATTTGAACAGAGCCATAAACTTTTTTTTTCGTATAAATACATTGATAATAGCCTGTGTTTAACAACTTATACATCTTTACATGTATTAACAATGTTATGTTATTAACAAGTTAATCATATTATTATTAACATTGAAAAGTAGTTTAAACAATCTGTGGCGAGTTCCGGCACTTTCCCGGAAAGCTCTACCCCC